TTTGGGGACCTAGGCCGGCACAATACATTCAATCATTCAATCGAGTTGATCGAACATGTGAGGGACAAGATGCTTCAGACGAGGTCATGTGTCTGTTTCACCACGATCTCCAGGCACACGGCACGCATAGCAGGATGCTCCAATTCGTAGTGTTGAGTGCGATGCTACAGCGGTGTGGAACCCGTCTTCATAGTCGCAGTGCCAGGAAGATTGCGCTCCTGCAAAGAGCAGTGGAAAGAGAGCCCAACACTCCCGTGATGAAAGCTCTTCGAAGACGCCTCGCACGTGCCAAAAACAATGCGTGTGCTCAAGTTCAGGGTGTTGTGTCGAGAAAGATGCTTTGTTGGTGGCAGCAGATTCAGCACATCAACTAGACTCACTAGACTGCTTTGACTCCAGAGTGCTGAGAACCGAGCCCATCGGAGTCAGACAGTCCAAGCCCAAGGCCAGTCTCCAGCGGAGTTCCGGAACTGGGAAAAATCCTCGAGGCCAAGGCAGAGAAGATTTCTTCGGCCTTGCTACGCCTTTGCTACGCCTTTGCTTCCTTTGCGCGCGCTTCAGCCCGCCGCAAGGCCCAGGCATGGGCTCAGGCTTTCGCTCAGGCGTCGCAGCAAAGCTCCGGCCTCAACTCTTTAGTCGCGCAGGATCTTTCTGCTGCACAATCTTTGGCTAGCAAGCGCAATCGAACAGACACTCCCTGTAGTCGTCAATTAAGACAATTCCAGAAGCTCCGAGCATCGGCCATCCACAGGCCGCAACTCTTTCAAGAACCATAAGTCAATGCTGTCAGCATCCTCGCCGGTAGTCATTTGCCTCCGGTGCGCCGCTTCGGCGGAGTGGGGCGAGGGCCCTCAGCCGAAGAGCCGGCAAAGCCGCCACCTCGATTTCAGCAGTGGTGCCTTTTGCATCAGCGAAAGCCTGCTCAGGTTACGCCTCCCTCCGGGTGCGCCACTTGCAAATCCTGTAGAAGTGGCGCGTCTAGCGGGCAGAGGGCTGTGGTCCTGCACATACAGACAAGACCATGTAAGATTTGTACAATGTAATGTAAGATAATTGTTCAGTTGTATTGATTTAAACATGCTTGAATACGTAAATTTGGATCCATATGTACACATGTATATACACGTATAATACATATACATATGGATATGTACATGTACTACACACACACTCACACTCGGCAGCCATTTGCAGGCTATCAGCCAATCTCGGACAAGCTCGCGGCGAATAGTAGGCTCGAGATTCAGTCATCGCCGAGAGCTTCAACTGCATGTCATGATGGCTAGCTTGGACATGCTGGAGTTGGCGGAACAGGCTACTCCGTGACTATCCGTCCACGTCCGGTGTGCTCGCGCTTCTGAGTTCTAGGATTCGAAGAAAGGCACGTTTAGATTGGAACCCACTGGCCCGGAGCAGGACCTATCAGAGACAGATCAGTCGAGACAGACGCAGAGAAGTCTGTAAGGAACTGCGTTGCAGGAAGCAAGTGCATTGGATCAGTGAAGCATCCGTGTTGATGCGACGATTTGTTTGCCGATGGATTGATTGGTTGGCGCAGGATCCGATTTCTAATTCGTGCACATCCATTCGTCGCTCAGTTGTTTAATGGGGCAGTCTCGCATTGCCATAGATGTATGCATCTAATTCGACATGCCATATCTGCTGGTTTTCTTGTGTCAATGTATGAGTACGGGCTTGTGCGTGTCGCGAACAAGGTGGACCCATGCCAATGCACAGATCTTTCCGAAGCCGCTGCCCGAACTTGAACTTTGGGTCGCCTGCGTTGGCCCCACACGCGGAGCATGGATTTTCGCTCTTGCTGGCTGGCTCGCCGAAGTTTGTCGGGATGGGAGTTACAAAGCGGAGTTGCTCTCAAGCCCATCAGAGCTGTTCATGACGGCTAGATAAAGGAAGCTTGGTACCAGACATCTTGCGAGAACGGCTAGCTGGCTAACTCCATCATGAAAGCAACGGGGATATGCAGACACTTGACTGACCTAGCAGCATGCGATTGGCGTCGTCCCCTCCAGCTGCGGGAGGCATGTCCGCGAGTCCATGTTTCTGCCTTGAGTCTGCTATGTGAGCCCCGGACATTGCTGCGCACTTGTCCGTGCTGCATCCGGTTATCATATTCAAGGTTGTTTGTATACCAAGTTGTCGAGGTAAGCACGTTCCGACTCGAGGCATTCACGTCAGCAACTGTGCACCGCAGTCTCGACTCAAGTCCTTCCGCTTACTACTACTCTTACAATCTGCGACGCAACGTAGCCCAGCGCTTCCAGCGCCACTTGGCAGCATCTGCTATTTTGCATCGATTGCGCACGTTGTGCGTTGTCAGAAGCCTTTTTGAGGCTTCTCAAAAGAAATTCTCTCACCTGGGGCCCTCACGCCCTGGCTGCTCCATATATTCATTTACTGTGCCTCGGCCTACAATCCTGGAAGGACGTGTGCAGTTTGTCGCAGAGCTGGCCGAGCGAAGGTGAAGCAAAGCTCCTACGCCATGAGATTCGCTAGGAGTTTCATTTTCGCTGCGGCAGCTTCTTGGCCCTAAAAGTAAGTTGGCCGCTTTAGCTGAAACAAGATTCGTTTGGTTGGATCTTCCTGAGGTCGTTTGCCTGCTGCCGCCTGTGCATGCAGCACGTGATGACTGCACTGTGGGGTCTTTACATGACATCTTGGCCACTGCCCAGGAGGCGGTATCATCATAAGACCTGACTGCAGCTATTCTCTCACCCACCTGCCTGCCAGATGATTCTGCTCATCGCCGCCTTCACAATCGGCTGGCATTTGCGCCTTGGAAGCCTTGGATTGCAAGCCCGAGGTTCACGGGTTGCTTTTCATGTTTCTCGGAGCTTAGGATAGGACCTTTCTTGGGTGTGGCCTTCCGCCAAAGCCGCGCAGCCACCCTTTGCAATGCAATTCGCGGCAGCCCTCGTCCTCGGGCTCTCGCAGCACCGGGCTTACTTACATGCGCGGAGGGAATAGGACCAGGAAAACCCTCGGTATTATTCATCAACGTTGCAGGAGGACCGGCCACGCGACTCTGGTGCAGCAGGTGTGAGAGTGCCGCGATTCAGCAACGTCCTTACATGGCGACCGCTTTGCCAGGCGACGATCCATCCGGCCCAGGCGTGACACAGCAAACTCAGGCTCTGAGCTCATGACGGTGTCAATGAAGGGAACAGCAGGAGCTACAGCTATGGCATCAGCTTACAGCCCCCTTGTCTGACCGAATCTGACCTCCAGTCGATCGGCATTAAACAGCAATTCAAAGGTCTCAGGTGTCCGATCCCAATTCCTGTTTTGGCATTCCGAAAGCCTTTCACACTCATGGTAGCTTCTTGATATCTCATGTATTATACGGCGACGATGTACTTGTAGCACAGCATGTGCAAGTCACAATGTGGGCATTTTGCTGCAGCCGTAGTTCTACCAACTCCTTGTCGACTGCTCCCGCACTCAAACCCATGGTGCTGTACAGTAGGCCGCGAGGGTGTCAGGTTTTTGTTGTGTGTGGTGGCTGCAGGGGCAGTGATGACCACCTGAAAAAAAGATGATCGTGCAGCTACTGCAGCATAATGCAGCGGCTAGTGCTATCTGCTGCTGCTCCTGCTACATTTGAAAGTAGGTGAAAACGCCAGTGTAGATGTCTGTTCCAAAAAGTTGTGCCGTCCGATGCTACAGACAATGTTAGTTGGACCCTGTACAGGCAGCAGAGGCTAGCAAGAAGTTGCAAAGGTCGATCTTGTGTAAACATTGGAAGTGGATGGGCGATGCAGAGACGCACCGCCCTATCATGCAAGTCTGGCAACAGATGTGATGTCGCATCGAGCCAGAAAGTTTGTACATGCCTTCTCGCGACACAGCTCATCGGGAGCGCTTTGCATGTCATCGACAACGGCAGTCGCGAACAGACATGCTTTTCCCAAAGCTTGATTTCTTGGTATGATCCCTTTGGAGGCGTTGTCGTTTCCTCCTGGACGCCCGGACGTGGCTGTCGATCTCTGGATCTCTGTGGCTGATAAGAAGGAGGAAGAGGCAAGCACTGCTAGCGGGCTGCTGGCGTGGTTTCGATGACAACAAAGCGTAAGCTTAAACCTGTCTCTCGCGTTCAGGTCGGCTCTGGCTCGCTGCCTGAGCCTGCGTTCTATGCCAAAGTCTTCGAGGCGCCATTGCTGCAACGTGGTGTCCAGGGACTCCAGGAATGTCTCGCCGGTCAGAAGGCGTGCATCGAACTCGGCGACTTTGACTCTGCGCATCGCTTGGCCCGCCGAGCAGCTTGGAGCGTGCCTGCAGGCCAAGGGGCCTCACAGGGTGCCAATTAAAGGGTACCGAAGAGGGCAGTACACGAGTGTGGCGGGTGCGGCCGGCGGTTATGGTGCTGGTTCGGAAGACGGGCTGCTCGAAGCCAGGCATCAGACTCTGGACTTAGCACAATGTGGAAATAAACAGTGGCCAACATGACCAACGGAACGAAGCTGCACCGGCGTTGTGGGCAGGATCGTCTGGATCATCCAAACTTCTGGCTCTCGCTCGGTGGCAACTTGGCACAGATTCACTGATGAGAGTCTAGGCGTGCATCCGGGGACTGAACGTCTACATGTGGGGGCTTCTGCTTCTGCACTTTCCAAAACAACATCCAAGCGTCGACTTCGAAACGTATTCGGTGCATGTCGCAAGAGTGCTGCCCTCACAAGGCTGGCAAGAAGGCAGAAGATCGATGAGGCGATGAAGTGCATCAAGCAAGTGCGACAGACCGGCAATGCAGTCGACCTTCGGAGCATGAAGCCACTTTGGATTGACAGTGGAAGGAACTTGTTCACTTTACGCCTGATGGCGTATGCACTTGCTATGAGCTGCGGCCCAAGGTCTCTCATCGTTGTTTGCGCGCAGCTGGGGCAAGTGGACCTGTGTGTCCTGGCTTGCATGTGGCAGAGATGCAGCCGAGAAGACGGGTGAGGAAATCCCAGCCAGTTCCTGCCACGACTAAAGGGGCCGTCGCAAGACAAGGAAAGAATGGAAGTGTGCAGTATGATGGGGATAGCTGCAAGCGTGTGTCCTTCTGATGACAGCCCAGAAGACCTCAGATGCAGGGACTAACCAGAAAGTACACATGGTTTGCTTTGAAGCCAAACCCTGCATACCAGCGAGGCCTTGATGTCGAGACTGCTTGATAGTGTGCCTCACTGCCCTCCCCCAGGTAGCAGTAGTAGTAGTTAGTAGTAGCAGTAGTAGGAGTAGAGTAGTAGTAGTAGTAGTAGTAGTAGTAGTAGTAGTAGTAGTAGTAGTAGTAGTAGTAGTAGTAGTAGTAGTAGTAGTAGTAGTAGTAGTAGTAGCTGTAGCTGTAGCTGTAGCTGTAGTTGTAGAGTGGTAGAAGTAGAGTGGTAGTAGTAGTAGCCGTAGTAGTAGTGGTAGTAGTGGCAGTGGTAGTAGTAGTAGCAGTAATAGTAGTTGTACTAGTAGTGGCAGTAGTAGTAGTAGTAGTAGTAGTAGTCGTCGTCGTAGTGGTAGTGGTAGTGGTAGTAATAGTAGTGGCAGTAGTAGTAGTAGTAGTAGTAGTAGTAGTAGTAGTAGTAGTAGTTGTTGTTGTCGTAGTAGTAGTAGTAGTAGTGGCAGTAGTAGTAGTAGTAGTAGTAGTAGTAGGCATAGGAGTAGGAGTAGGAGTTGGAGTAGGAGTAGTAGTAGTAAGTAGTAGTAGTAGCAGTAGCAGTAGTAGTAGTAGTAGCAGTAGCAGTAGCAGTAGCAGTAGCAGTAGCAGTAGCAGTAGCAGTAGTAGTAGTAGTAGTAGTAGTAGTAGTAGTAGTAGTAGTAGTAGTAGTAGTAGTAGTAGTAGTAATAGTAGTAGTAGTAGTAGTAGTAGTAGTAGGAGTAGTAGTAGTTGTAGTGGTGGAAGTGGTAGAAGTAGTGTGGTACTGGTAGTCCGTGGTCGTGGTGGGGAGGGGAGGGGGGGGGGCTTGCTTCCGTTTTTTTTTTTTTTGGGGGGGGGGGGGAGGGGTGGTGTTTGGAAAGGAGAGGGGCGGGGGAGGGGGGAAGGGGGGGCTTTGTGTATGAAGAAGAAGGCTTTTGGCGCACTCTCTGACTCCTTACACCACCATGTTCAATTGAAACTTTACCCCGAAGCTTCTCCATGACCTAGGATCTAGAACATGACCAGAACGTGCCAGAACCTTTGTAACACAACCACCGAGAAATCGATGGCCCGTGACCCAAATTTTTAATTTAACAGCTGCATGAAGCTGGCGGCAGAAAGCTTGCCTTACCATGAAAGAGTCCCCCAAGGATTTCATTTCTGTCCTGCGCAGTTGGCATGTTTTTGGCCTACCGAGGCCGCACACTCTTTGAGGACCTTGCTGGCGACAAGCTAAAGCCTGACTTCGCAACCTGGTTAAGTGTGGTGTGTGTGTGTGTGTTCACATTGTGGAATTCCTCCAGTCTCACAATTGGGAACCTTTGTTGGGTGCCCTGTAGGTGACCTACTCCGCGATGATTCGGGGTCTGTGCAACGTTGGCAAGGCCTTCGTCACAGATGCGTTCGCGTGCTAGCTGTGCTCGCTGTAGCCAGCCCCAATTTAAATAGCCTTCAAGTTGTCTCAGGTAGAGGAGGCACTGGCTTTTGTGGAAAAGATGCGCCGCGACACTATATACTTGGATGCTATGTTGTTTGACGTGTTGCAACTTGCTGGCATATAGCTGGATGGGTGGCTCTGTAGAGGTTATGGCTATGCTCAGGTGCGCTTCCTTGCAAGGTAGGAAAGCCACAGCAGAGCTCTGCAGCCTGTGTTGAATTTCGCTTCGCACCATTCCCTTCAAGGTTGGAAGCCTGCGTCCATCAGAATTACTTTAAGGGAGCCGAGCAGCTTCTGGCACAGATGAAGGTGCCCTCGCGAGCCGCCATGTGATTTGTGCTGAGATTGGATTGCGAGGAGCTGGGCATGCAGCCTTCCAATGCGACGCTTGCGACCTGCAAGTTGCCAGCAATTGCCACCATTTGCCATCACATTTGTCGCCGTGGCACAAACTTCTGCGAATTTCTTTGAAGCACGTCTTCTCGGTTCTCGCTGATCCAGAGTCGAGGCATCCGGCTGTATTCCTCTCGCGGTGAACTGCAGCGCGCCATGTCCATCTTCGATGATATGTCACGAGAATATCACTTGCAGCCCAATGCTTACGTGCAACCTGGCACACTACGTATTGAGTGTCACGGGGTACTGGATCGAGCCTTCTTTGCCGGGTCGCTTGGCCTTCTGAACCTCACAGGTACGGAGCTCTTATCGCTGCTTGTGTTCGTTGCGGCCACTCCCCCAGTCTGCAGTCAGGAAACGACAGGATTTCACGTCGCTCCAGTCTCTCCAAGACATGCGAGGAAAGCCCGACTTGGCGATGTCCACCCACGAACGGATGGCTGCGGCAGGGTGCATGCCAAGTGCCCGGACATACGAGCGGCTTCACCTGCAATGTGCAATCGCTTCGCAAGGCCTTTGCGAATCTTTACACAGTTCGATTCGAGTGATTTGTCCTAGGCTTCTGATCCAGTGCTGCATTCAGCTTGGCTGGACAGCTGCTTGGCACTTGTTATCTGCATCTGAAGCTCACTTGAGCTTCCGCTGGGTAGCTTCTGGTTCTTGAGAAGTTCAATGGTGCAAAGAGCAGTCTCATTCCTTGCCTGGCTAGCGGCTAGCCGCCAGTGAGGTGTCAGGCCGGCGAGTGGAATAGCAAAGCCTGCCAAGTGTTCGACTGACTCGGTCTTGCCCTGCGTCCGGCTTCCGACATCCGCAAAACGCGCAGAAACGCGGTGACGTGCGCCGAGAACAATCGTTTTGGCCACGGGTCGTCTCTTCCACGACCCTGTCTAGACAGAGTTTACCGATGGTAATGGTGCTTCTAATTTTAACGCTACGCCGCCCGCCTCGGCTCTGTAGTGGCAGGGCGAGGGGGCAGTGGATGTCGTATACACCATGCTAGGGGGGCTCGCAACCCCAACCGAAACAACGGGAGGGGGGGGAGGGGGGGGGAGGGTGGGAGGGGGCAGGAGGAGGGGGGAGGGGGGGAGGCCTCCAAAGCAGGTAAATGAAGCCGGCCAGGTGGCAACGAACGCAAAAACCTGGAGGAGGATTGGGTAGGGAACCTGAAATAACTCTCAAGAGCCTGTGGCCTCGGTGGATGTCAGGGTGTGTGCTCCGGTTTCGAGTTGTTGCTCCCCGTTATTTATGTACGGATGCAGGTGGTGTCCTCATAGTTTGTCCGGCGTTAGACTTCGTCTTCGCCAGCCCATCATGTGCTCGGCCCCTGCCGATGTTTTCACCAGAACCGAAAATCATCAAATCGTCTGACGATGTAACGTCACATGGGCACAAGCCATTCGGACCACCAGTCAACAGGGTCACCGAGGGTGCTAGCCAAACTCCGATGACAGTTCTGGGTTTACACAGAGGCAGGTTCCAGCCACTTCAAACTTCAAGTAGCATGAAGCGCCGCTGCATTGCGGTGCCATCCCTTGAAGCAGTTGATTCCTTGAGATGCACTTGGGCGTCTGGGGCAGCTGCAGGCCAAGGCTGTCGAGCTCTTGGACGCCGCTTTGGGCCTCGGCACCGAGTCCGAGGATGCGGTGCCAAGGTTGGACGCCCCAAACTTGCACACGTGTTTATAAGTCGAAATTCGTTCCTGCAAGGACACCGGCTTTTGTTGATCCGAAGGTGGTGGAGGATGGGCGGCACAGTGATGCAACGTCCTGCACTTCTGATTCTGAGCCTGCACGTTTTTTGGTGCGAGGACCTTCTCCTCTTGCTCGCCCGCCGCAAGCAGGCTCGACCATCTTTCCCAGATGCTTCTGCACACAATCATGCTCTTTAGGCTTCAAGTCTGGGCGTTCCTCTCCTAAAGCGCCTGGAAGAAGCCGATTTCGCGACTTGGACGCGACTCGGACTCGGAATGTTCGGATGCGAAGCTCAGACTCAGGAGCTCCCGGAGCGGATCGCTGGCATCGCTGCTGTCGAGCCGACGGCCGTGGAGTCTCAAAGCTCTCCAGCCAGACTACGCTGCGAGCGCCGGCGGGCGCCTGGCCCGAAGTCTTCGGGGTGTTTGTGCTCTCTCGAGCACCTAGGGATGTGAGGCTATCCTGCCGGCCATTGCCTGCCGATCAGGACTTTGACCAGTGGCGCAATTTTGCCGGGGCGTGATGCGGTGTTGGTAAGGGCCCGAGAAAGGGGCTGGTCTGTGCTGACATTACGCATGATTGCCTGTGTGCGAGTGCCACCAGACTGTGTCTCAACATCAAGGTGCTATAACATTGCCATCGCATTGCCTTGCAGGCTTTGGTGTTTGCCATTGCCGCCGGGCGCTTGAAATTTCTGGATGAGTTCGATGGCACTGGTGAAGGCGACTGTTTCTCTGCGCTTTGGAGCGCAGAACCCACGCCTGACGCACCCCGACTGTCTTGAACACAGCTCAGTCGAAGCCCGTCTTGCAGTTGGATGCAATTTTTGATGCACGATGAGTACAAGGAATGGTGATAAGGCAGCAGTGCACGCCACAGTACCCGAAATCCTCGAAACATGTGGCAAGTCACGATCCTGATGCAGGTTGAATCCCAAGTCTTGATTGGATGGGCATAGAGATTACATCTCCGAGGATTTGGGGAACTGGATCGTCATTTTGTGTTGACGAATGTTGTCGCTGAGCCTCCGCTTATGGCTCGCCACGGCCTGTTTTCAACACTTGAACTGGCTGCCAACAATCGTCGGCTGAATCAGCTTCTGATGCGAATTTACATGTTTTTGGGTAACTGACGGAAGCGATTCGAATCTACAGAGCGGATTCGGCCGCTTTTGAGCCACTCACGTAACGCTTGCACGTGCTACATCAGTGCTCTACCTGCAGGTCTTTCTCCTAGCCCTGTTCGCCCTTCGAATTCGTTTCCGCTGCGTGTCATGCTCTCTCCGGTGCTTGAGCCGCGGCAAAAACGGACTTGGCGCGGTGCAGCGGTGCAATTGGTCATAACAGTGGCTTCCTGGCCCGGGAGGTCTTCGACCATGGCCCGGAAGTCTAAGGCTCCTTGCTTGGACTGACACTTGCGAGAATGATAGAACGGATGATGAGCTGGTCGGATCAGGTCAGGTCAAGGTTCTTCTTTTGGATGCTGCACTTTTTGTTTCTCCGCAGTATTGGCGCACTGGCAAGAAACGCAAAAAGGAAGTTTTCCGATCATGTGGATGCAGCAGGCGTCAGGTGTGTCAGCGCAGAAGCCAACCTGAACGACTTACTTGCGGTCGGCCGCAAGCATGTAAGGTGGCAGGAGTGAACGGTTTACTCGCTGAGTCGAGGTCACATCGCAAGCCAAAGGCAAACCAATTCGATCTGTAGTGTTGCTGTCAGGTCTTATCGAAAACAAAAAGCAGCAAGGCGAGCAAGGGGAATGCCACCAAAGACTTCAGCAAAGTGAAGAACAAGGTGGCTGTTTCGGAATCTGGCCTTCTGAAGCCCTGGGCTGCTTGGTCCTGGTCTTGATTTGATGTTGAACAGGTCGGGAAGACCAAGAAGGCAGCTCTCAATGATACAAAGACAGACTTCAAGGTGAAAAAGGTGCGACCTGCACACAAAACGGCAATCCTCGTGCTTGGAGCTTCTCGAAGGTGCAGCTGCCCTCACAAAGTGCCCTGGACGAGAAGGGCGAGGAGGTTACGCACAGAAGGCAAGACTGCATGGCCTTGTGGCATGCCGCATGCCTAAGAGGAAGTCGCCTTTGGGCCCTGGGGTTCTTATCAGGCTGGGTCTTGCAGAGCTGCCCTGGCACTCGGTTTCTTTTTCTGTAAAATCATTTAGGCGACAGGGAAACAGTGACAAAGCATCTTCGCCAAGGCTTGCCCACCTTCAGCATCATAGCCCCAAAGTCCGGCGCGATGCGTGCGCTCCCCACGTTGGGGTTCCCTGACCACCATCTGACGTTCCTTTTGCACCTGTCCAGGTTGCGAGGTCTCCTGGAACTCTGCAAGGAGCACGACAGTGTGAAGCTCTCAAGCCGCCAACACGTTCAAGGTTTTGTTGGAGCCAGTCACTAATTGCTTTCAATTGCCAAAGTTCTAAAGTCTATACATAGTACATACTTTGAGCATTTTGGAGTCTTCGGGTTATTGTCAATTGTAGTTAGACGAGTTTCCCTCCTTCCCAGAAGCCCGCACACCGAGCCTTGCTGCCATCGGTTTTGCTGCAGCTTCGGTACGCATTGCAACGCTTTTCTGTGCCTCTCGTGTCCAGTGTATTCGCCATGCTGGCTACCTACACCGACCTAAGCAGCTCCACAGGTTCTGCAGGTTCACCTCTCTCGCATTCTGGACTCTCTGGTGGTCGCCCAAGCTTGGCTCTGCGCGACTCCCAGCGCATGGTGTTCAGACGGTGTTGCAAACGAAGGCCATGGTGGCAACGGATGGAAGCATGGATGTGCGGGCATCGTTCCGGTCCTTCCAGGCCCGCGCAACGAGTTAAACCTACGAAAAATCGATGCGCAGCACAGGCCTACATGCTAGAGGCCCTTCCCCAGGCTGGACATCGCGGGGCCAAACGGTATGATGCATTTGTCCTAGCATTGCGGCTTGTCCGGGTGCTCAAGGATGCAATTGCAGCCTTTTCCACAAACCTGGCCCTTCAGGCCCGCTACTCAAAGCTGTGTTGACTGTGCCTTGAATTCGAGGGTGCAACCTGGGTGCAACTGTGCAACTGCCTCCTGGGTTCTTCGATCCTGTTGTGAAGATTCCAGATGCCACGCTCAGGTACGAAGTGCCCTGCCAGAAACCCAGTGACATCCAGTGACACTGTGAGATGAATGACCTCGGGAGCTTTTGTGCCTTGGTGCGGTGGCATATGTTGACACACGCAGCCAGTTGGTGCACAGTTGTCAGGTCCCACGTGAGTGCAGAAGTACGAGAGGATGGCTGGCAACCGAGCATGCAAGCATTGCAAAACTCGGCCTACATGCCACAACAGAGCTGGCGAACCTGGCTTGGAGCCTTGCAAAGCTTTGATGTAGAAATTGCCCATCCGATGCTTGCAGATCTGCAAATTCGTGGACATGGCTGGCCCAGGTCTCAAGCTTCTGGAGCTTTACTTGAGCCGGCTAGGCAGCGAACAGGCCACTGACAGAGTCGTGGCAAAGACTCTCGTGCCTGCCCTAACTCCGGTCCGTGTCAGGTCCTCAGTCATGATGAGGCTTCTCGTGTGGCCTCGGTCTCAACTCTGAGACACAGTCACACTCCCACATTCGCCCCTTTTTGTGTCGCTTCTCAGAAGGCCATTTCCTGAAGGTCCACTTGTGGCTGTGAAGAGCGGATGTAGCGTCCGTGCAACACCTAGGTAGGGACCCTTTGCCAGCTCCACTCTCATGTCGACTTGGTCTTGCACCGTGATCGCAGTGAGCCGTCCGGCAGCTTCACATTTGCCGCGCCGACTTGCGCAGCTCAGGCCCTGCCTCCTGCAGTTGCAGCCGTGCTTCAAGCGTTCCGGAACCGCGAAGGCTCTGCTGTGTGTGCCCTGTTTGTACTGCAAAGTCGAAGCCCAAATTCAACAGACAGATGGGGGAAACCCGGCTTCGTATCCGGGCAGGATGGCGTCCTGGAGTCAGGGCGCGCCATTGCTCAGGCCCAGCGACCTGCGAAGCCGCACATCAAGCTTGGAAGTGCAAGTGCCCGTTGAGTCGGAAGGTATCCATGCAAGACGTCCTGGAGGGAAAGCTGAGAGGGCAACAGCCAGGCAGGCCTGGTGTACTTAACACAGAACGGGGCACCAGAACAAAAGCCATGGCACCGATCCGAGACCTGCAAAGAGTGGTGCCAGGAATGGCAGGTGCGCAAGCCGGGCAGGCACAAGCCGCCGGATGGGACAGCCTCATGCAAAGCTGGCAGTCGCTTTGACCAGGCTCAGCTGGATTCACAGATCTGGGACTTCTGTTTGCGAGCATGGATGCAAGCCCGGACCTCAGAGGGTCCGCTTGAAATCGTAAGACTCTTACGACAGAATCGAGCTTTGACACGGGCAGTAATTCATGTCCAAGGCAGGCGACCTCCCACGTTGGAGCCCCATTCTGCAATCTCGGTCAGATGCGCTTTTCTGGGATTGAGTTCCGTTGCTCAAAGAAGTTGGCCGAAGTCTGCGTCTCAGGCGGATCGACAAAAGCAGGTCGCGGCCAACTGGAAGTGCTAAGCAGGCCAACTCCTGTGTGAGATGCTTGGGTTGTGCACAAGTCCCGGAGCTAATTAAGGGTGTGACAAGATTCCCATCTGGGATGACGTGTTTCTTTACCTGCCGGTTTCAAATTACGGCCGTCGGACAAACGCAAAGGCAGAGGAGAGCCACCTTGTTTTTGCAAGCAATCTTTTGCCCAATGAGACGAGGCCAGGTTGGATGCGTTTGCGTGTGGCGGCCGTCCTGGAGCGCACTCTGGAAGGTCTGAGCCAAGCTTTGAAGGGGTTTATGTGTGGCTCGATGGGCATGGGTAATCAACAAGCCAGCTGAGTTAGGCACCACGTCACAGAGGCCTTCTAACACAGAGGCTACCGGTTTCATTTCGCAATCCCGGATGATTGGCCTGTGGTGGTTTGCAGGACTTGTCTCAGGCTCAACGCTGGCTGCTCAGAGTGCAGATGTCGCCTGCGAGGTTGGGTACGACTGGGAAAGTGGCTACCGAGGTCTACCGTGAGTGCTTCGTCCCAGCCGTCGGCCGCGCAGGTGGGGCCTTATTTGTCCGCGGGACGCCGGCAATGTCTCGCAGAGTGCCAGCAAAAAACGCTCTTGAAGGTCGCATCGCTGAGCGGCTTGGTCCGTCGTGAGGAGTGGCCAATGCGAGTTGACGCACAGAGCCCGCCACTTGCTTGGTGGTGAAGCAACTGAACCATCGAACTGTGGGATTTCGTTTGTACCTTGTAACAGAATCGACCAGCACCAGCTACATAGCGAGCATGCGATAGCCGGACACATGATGAGCAAAGCCTTGTGACAGCCCACATGATCGTGCGATGTGCGTTGCTTGGCTCGGGCAGAGGTTCCGCCAGCTCGCGGACTCCATCAACCTTCGTATGGCCGCCTGCTTTAAGTCGTGATAACCTGCTGCACATTCTGGCACGATCGCTGGAGGCTTTTCTGCTTTCTTTCGCTCAGGCACGCGTCATGGCACTCTTGGCATGTGGTCGATGGCTGAGACGAGCCGGCCATGCAAGCCTCCACTGGCACAGGCAGACTGGCGTCCACGTGCAATTGTACGCTCTGTTCCGCAAGGTGCAGCGCCTGCAGACACAGCACCCAAGCATTTGCAGCGGCTCGCGCCGGGCCCCAATCTTCTTGAGGTTTCTTGATAGTCAAATGCACAGTGCCCTGTAGCTGAACAGCTGATCTCCTGGAAGCTTTGATGATTGCTGTGCTTGGCTTTGTTGAGGCAGGCTGCACTGGCAGTGCGCGGGAGCCCAGCAGTTTGCTGGAAGAGCACTCTTTCCTGACAAACTCGGCACTGCCATGGGCTCTCGGCGCTCGACGCGCTTATTTGTTCGGGTTTTCGATGACCCAGTTCCAGGGTGGAAGACCTTGCGCTGGCAGCTGCGAGGCCCGCAGACTGCAGAGTCGCCTTGCGCGGAGTTCCTTGTTTCTCAGGGCTCAATGCGGCACATAAACATAAAGATCCCACTTAGGAAACCCAGAGCTTCCACTCCGCTGGGTATGACCAGGTGTGTTGGAAACGGCAGCACTGCTGTGCTACCAACAAGATATCGGAAAGTCTTTACGCGGTCACGGCTTTGAACCCTTAACTGCAACTTGTTCGAGGAAGTTGTCTCTGTTTGTTTTTGTAGTAATGCGAGTCCCTTTTGGTGATCGAGAACAAACTCACCAGAGGCTCTAAAGTCATGACAGCGGGTACTCAGCGCTGCAGCTGGCCATTGGTCGTTGTTTGTAGTAGGCATTGGATTGTTGGAAGGTCTTTCGCCCAAAGTGCTCGTGGTGCAGAATCTGCCGGTGCGAGCCTGGGTGAAGCGGTATCAGAGCACTTGGCACCGGGACTCTGTTGTTGCGCAGGTGCTGACGCTGCGGCAGCAGCTGTGACGGCCATCGTTTCCTGGCTGCGGTAGGAGCAGCGTCGCAGACTGACAGCCTGACAGCCACTTTCGGAGCGCTTCGTTGTCAGGGCTTGGCTGCTGGCGAGGAGGTGGGCAACCATACCCGATGCAAAGATGTAAACAGTAAGCACAACTGCAACTGCGTGCCGTTGTGCATGTCCTGCACACCCGTCTTGAACTCCGCACACATCTCCGTTGTGACCCGCAGCCGTGACCTGTCTGCAATGCTACGGCCAATGTTCCCAGTGAGCTCTCAGCTCTCACATGCCGTTTCCTTTCGATGCCACGTGGCTTTATGACCACAGCCTCGCTGCGGACTCGGCTCCTGTAAAAGAGCCGGGCGACGGGGCGACCCTGGTTTCGTCCGCTTCCGAGGCTCACTTCCATAGCTGGAGTTCCTCAGGCTCTCAGTCTCACCGTTTCAGCCGTTTCAGCCTTCATCTTCTGAAATGGTTTGTTTCAGGACCCCAGGACCACGATCACGACCGTGTCCTGGACCTGCGCCACCCCAAGCTGCAATCACTTGTCTCGCGGATCCAGGCCTATTACCGCGCAGAAATCGCGAGCTCCGAGGTCACTGGGCCTGCCTTTGCATGGAAGCGGCTCCGCGAAGGCTCGCAGACCAAAGTCCGTTCAGAGCTGGGTCGCACGTCGCCGGGTCTCCACTGCTGCAAACTTGAACCTCTCCCGGCTGCGTTTGGGTGGCACCTGCAGGCTGCTGCGTTTCTGCAGGGTCCACACGACCAGTCGTGGCACGCTCCAGGCCGCAGTGACATGCCCCAACTGGTTCACGTTACATGTCGGATACACCCTTGATACCGATGCATGAGTGCGATGCTGCTCTGCCACTGTAGCCATTTTCGTCTCAAGACGAGGCCTGGGTTGCTCCCGGCTCCCGATGGAGGTGAACCTTATAGAGATGCATCCCATGCGAGTGCTTTTGGAACTCATGTTGGCTCGGGCACTGCAAGATGAAAGCGAACGCTGCACAGGACTTCTCTACTTCGCAGAGTTTGCAGCCAGGTGAGCACGCGGCTGGCACATGCAACGCACAAGCCAAAGTGGGGTGTCAGCCAATGTGCAAACGGCCATGCAGCACGATCTGCGAACATGTGGCGCAACCAGTTGTCTCCAGGTCACCGTGGCTCCGGTACTAAAGGAACCTATTCTTCACGGGCGTCGGGCATGGCATAGTTTGCTTCACCAAGCCATCAGCTGCATCGACACAGGGCAGATCTCGAGCTGATCTGACTGATCCGCTTGTCGACAAATGCGCCATGGTCTGGCTTGGAAGATCGGTTGCACGAACAGCCAGCGACATTGAGGTGTACCGTGGCAATGGCTCAGGGCCTGTGAGCTATCCTGATGCCTGAGGCTCCGACCTTTTTGCGCGGGCTTTCGGACTTGCAAGCGGGTACAAAATGTAATGGCTTTGCGTATTGCCGGGCAATGATTTGACAGCCCATGCATCAGCTGCAACCATGAGTCGTAGTGCAGCTGCATTCAGCTGCTAAGCCATGATGCCCTGTGGCTGCGGGCATCTGCGGGCTGCGGATGAGATTCCCCACGTGTTGAGCAGGACCGAGCATGCCCCATGACAGGATCTGACTCGGACACGCAGTCGGAGGCAAATCAAGGTTTCAGCGCTAGGGCCCAAGAAGCACTCAGGCCGAGGATAATCTTCAGAAGAGTGCGATGGTTTCACCGAGGCAGCGGCATGGCTCGGGCAGAGCAGCTCCCGCCGGCATGGCACGTCGCGAGATCCTCGGTGTGAAGACGTTCTCGCATGCCCGGCTACAGCTCGGCAAGTGAAGTTGCACGGCCTAGGTTCCTCTTCGATAAGGAGACGATGTCCAATGTGATAGGTGCCATGAAGTCAACGCCACCTGTCGCGCCGCGTGCCTGCATCGAGACCTTCGCCACCCTGCTCAGACATCTACAGTGCTGGAGGGTCTCCTGGGTGCAGTTGGGATCGCCGGAGTCAGGCTAATACCCCTGCATGCCGCTTCCATTGTCTTCTCCTTGCCCGGGCACATCGCCTTCGAGCTAGGCCCCGTGCTCAGATTTGACGGAGAGGACCTGCTTGCGGTCAGGGTAGCCATTGTAAGGTGAAGGCTACCTGTTTGGCTTCCAGAAGGTGCAGAGATTTTGTGTAGTCGCATGTAGTGGCCGCTAATGCGGCGTGTGGTTGCTGAGGGCCTCGAGCTGGCCTTCGTCGGGAAAGCCGTGGGAGCACTGGCAGCCTTCGGTGTTGGTCGGTCAGTGGGCTGCCAGACGCCCATCCGCGCACAGACAAGCTTTCCACCGCGTGGAAAAGTGAAGAAGTTTTGCTCCAGGCTGTCAGGAGGTGCGCGAGTGTCGAGCTTGGCTTTTCTTCCGAGGAATCTGCATCTCTTTGTCTTTGTGCATGCATGGTGGAGTACGATGAACCAGAATAAACACGATAGCATGCCCGCAAGGCGAAGTGGAACATGTTTTCTTTCAGCGGTGCATGCAGAAACCCGAGGTCACTCAGACAGCGAATGGAGTCTTGGCCAGTGGCGACAAAGGCAGCCAAGAGCCTCCAACTCAGACAGCTCTCTGCGCAGCTTTGCATAGAGCTGTCCAATCTGCGCCGGCCGTGGTGGCTATGATGGGGCAGAACGGAAAACGTGTGCTGTGATTTACCCGAGCTCCAAGGTGTAGAGCAGGGAGGGCATGCTTCGGTCTTCTTTGTCAGGACAAGAGTCCAGCATTTGGCATAGAATACATGTGGAATCAACCTGGACGTCAGGATAGCACCGCTCCCTTGCGTTGTCAAGAACTACGCATTGTCCCTGCTCACGGACATTCCGTGGAGCATCTTTGTGCCAGGCATCGCTGCCACCGGGTGCTCATGCCAGCCATGCTCGCATGAGAAATCACAACACATCTACAACTTACAGATCAAACGGTTATCCGGGTTGCCCAGCTCCTGTCGTGTGCGGTCGTGTGCGCCAGGGACCCTGCTTGGACTCCTGCCGACCACAGCTGCTCACGTTTACGCAGGCTTGGTGTGTCCGTACTCCGTGAGTGACAGGCACAGCATGTGTTCTGCTCATGCGGCTGAAGCAGGTACTCTTGCACCCACGTCGGCAGAGCTCATGCAGCTAGGGAAGCATTCAGCAGACGTCCGCAGGTTATGCTCTGGGAAACGACACGGCATGTTTTCAGCGGCAGCTCAGGAGCGGACAAGGAGCCGCAATGAAGGCCTGCGCCCGTTCCAGATGCTGCGTTGAGTTTCTCGTGCCATGTGCTACAGTAGACGCTTGACGATAAGGCTATGTAAAGCAACATATGGTGGGCCTCGTGCGTCACAACCCTTTCCAACGCTGTTGAAGCCGAAGGCTGCAGAGTTGGGTTGCTCTGCGTCATCGGATCTGTCCGACTTACTTTTCTTCTTCTTGTTCCTGCTTCTTCTTCTATAGATTCCTGTGCGAGCGGCGCATCCGAAGAAGCTGTTTCAACACTCGGGTAGAACGGCAAAGCGAGGAGCATTTCGATGAGCCAGCTCTAGCACATGTGTCTGAAGGTTCTTGCGCAAGGGGAAGCCGGCACCGCAACGTCACTAATTACACCACACGAATGTGTGGTCTGCATCATGCGGCCGAAGACGTGTTTGTCTTGACCCAGGACATCATGGAAGAACTCCGATACATCTCTGGAAGCCACTCCGATCAACAGCGAGACCCCAGCATGAAGAGGAGGACGACGACGACATAGTCATAGTTTGTTAGTTCGGGTGCACGCCTGCAAATGCCCATGTCATGAGCATGCAACTGCCATCAGCAAACTGTCAAGTACATGAGACTGCCAGCGAGGAAAATGTTTGCAGATGCACTCGTGGACTCATGCCGGCTTGATGGTGCTGATGGTGATTGTGTAAACGAAGATGAGAGAAGCATTTTGGTGCCGAGCATTCCAGACACAAGGAATGGCAAATACAAACGAAATGCGATGACTGGGGTGTAGAGGAGAGCTTCGTGGGACGGATTTCCCATACACCCCCCTCCTCCTGCACTTTAACATCCGATCGCGGAGCCGGGTTTCGACATTGCCGTTCACATCCCGAGTCTGCCGAAAATTCAGCCCGGCGGCAACACTGGCGACATCTGTCGCCGGGGGTGCCGTAAACCGCCGGCCTCGATGTGATGCGACCACCGAAGCTCACGGGTCCTGCCCTTGGAAAGCGAGCTCAGCAGCTCTGACAAAGCATCGCACGACTTCTTGCTCAACATCAGTGCTCATGGTACATATGCTGCTGGAAACAAGCATGAGGCCTTTCGGTTGCTGATGGAGCATTTTGGTTTGTCGGTCGGTCGGATGTCGGCCCAGCATTTTCAGGAGCAGGTTGTGTCAGGCCTGGAAGGTGCTGTGAACAAACCCAAGGAAGGAGTGCAAGAATCGCCTTCGGGCACTGATCTGCGAGTACCGGTTTCGTGCCGTTCAGGCACTCGTCAGCCATACAACTTCTGTAAGCAGCTGTTGATCAGCGTTAGCCTGGACATTGTGGTGCTACTTCTATGTGCATGCGCATGGAAAGCCCACCCAGCCCTCATTCTGTTACGAAGTTGTACCGGTAGGTTTGCCGGAAAAGACTGAAAGAATTTCCATGCCACTGGCGGCCTCGGGCAGTTGGACTGTTTGAACGCTTCAAAAGTGATAATCTAGCTTTCAGCATGTTCCATGATTTTTGAAGTCCGAGTCGTTTGGTCACGTTACTGCACTCGAGTTTGCAGACAGTACAATTCACCGAATAGGTCGACGGGACTTCAGGTTCATACCGAAGATGCCGACTTCGAAGCTTAACACAGTCGTCCGACGATCCACATCGTTTGGTGAAAGCCATGATTCTGGATGCAATCCATTTGCGAGCAGTCGTCGCACAGATTCCATGTCGTCAAGAGAGCCAGACTCTTTGCTGTTCAAGACAAGACATCTCGCAACTTGACTCTTGAAGATATGTTTTCGGCATGGCAAAGCATGCTCACTCTATGCATGGATTCTGTTGCGGCTTGCGGTGCACGAAGGTGTGCAACAGCTCTCCGTCATACCTGATGGAAAGATCAAAGAAATCGATTCGTGAAGAGTACACAATTGAAAGTCCGTGGTGTCATCAACATAGCCTTCTTATTTGGATAGCAAACCAGTTTCAAAAGCCTCGCACACAAGAGGTTTGACATGATGTTCTCGGTGTATGTTTGCAGCATCAGCAGCCATATGCTCACCAATACGTACCTTTGTTGTGTAGGATGATGAGGACTAGTTTGGCAACAAAGTCCTTGGCAGCCTGATTCACGCTGTAGTAGTTGTCCAATCTGGAACAAAGTGAAACCTGCAAGGAATGTGCTTGGGTAGAGTCTTCCAGACCGCGGCTGCAACGACCAACTGGTGAGTATCATGTCCGAGTGGAGGCGGATGGCCCAACAGATCCGACAAGACTTTCGAATCCATAAGCGTTGTCTCGCAAATGCAAACTACGTTTTCGCAAAATGTTGGAAACACGAGGTTTCGGATTTTGCCCAAGCATAAGACAACTGCAGGCAATGAGGCTTTGCTGGGATTGGGGAATGCCAGATCGCGGAGTGGCTGTAGAGTAAAGTTCATCGTCCCGACATCAATCAAGTGGTTTTGACCAGCACGGTCACAAAGAGATCGTGAAAGGTCATATGCTGAATTCAAAGACCACATGAGCTCGCTGTCTGAAGCTTCCGTGAAGGCACTGTTGACGGTTTCCCGAAGATATTGTTTGCGAAGATAACCTGCAGAAACATTAATGGGACCATACCCTTTGTGCAGTGAGATCTTGCAAACAGAGCCGCCTGCGAGCTTGAAGCCAGCTTAAAGCTTTCTGATGTAGAACTACATTGTGGGCGGCGGCTCCCAGGATTGGGGGCTGTTGGCTTCTTTTTCGATCTTTGCAGTCAGCTTCGGGTTGAAAGACGAAGGCAATCGGAACCTCGGGAAGAAAGGAATGTGGTTCTGCTGCTTGTTGGGCCTCCTGTCGAAGATAATGATAGAAAAGCTTGCGCACAAGGTCTCGGACTGATGACTGGAAGGATGCACGGCAATACCACGCCTAAGGAATACTTTTCCGGAGTTTGCGCTGCTGGAGGAAAAGTCTCTGGATCAATATCTGTGTGATGCAAAGAACTTAACTTCCGAATCAAGCCCAGATGGGCCGAGGTCGGCTGCTGTAAATACACAAACGAAAAAAGAAGCTGCAGGGTTGCGGGGCGATTCACGCTGTACGTGAGATGTTGGTGTCCGCGGCGTTTGTTGCCAAAATGGCAACGGCGGAGATGCCGAAGGTTCATGTACTTGTCACGCGGCTTTCAATGCTGCGGCTGCTGTTCCTGCTGCCATGCTGCGACTGCCTGCTTTTGCTGCAGGATGCGTTGCGGCTGAAGCTGCAGTGGCTTGTCGTGGATCTCGCGGAGCTTTCACTGCCTTGATTTTGAGTCTCGGTTGGCTGAAAGTTGCCGCGGCGAGTTGGATCGTCTTCTCTTAGAAGATGTCCCTGCGTCTTGTCGCGATATTTTGGAACTTGTTTTTATCTGCGCTTGCCGGCGGTGAGCTGAAGCGGACCTGGCAGGTGCTTGATTCTTTCTGCTGCTTCTGTTCGTTCTGCCTTTGCTCCGAGCTCGACTGGAAGTATTGTGAATGTAGTTGGATGCTGCGCCGTTGCTGTGACGATGTTTGTTTTGTTCGCTTTCCAACCATGTTGCACTTCACCTTTCATTTGGACTGGCTCTTCTGGAAAATCTTCGTCATCCTTGAGTCCAGGTGGGCCAAGCCCTTTTTTTGCAACTCGGATTTCATGCTGTAGGCCTGGTCCCTGAGAATCCTCGAGCATCGTCGACTGCTGTCTTCGCCGAACACGACGGTACTCTGGCTTCATTTGCTCTTTCGCGGCTTAACATACAGAAACCAAACCTCCTCCATTTCTGGTAAGACCGCTAAAGCAATCTTCGGGAAGATGAGGGGGGCGTGTAGTGGTGAAAAACTCTCGTGTACCTGCCTCCGCCGATACAAGCCCTTCGTCGTGTGCAGATGCTCCTTTGTGGGGTGTTCCGAACCGAAACTCGACACATTCAGGAAGAGCCGCAGGTCAGGCCTGGAATGGAAGGGGTGGACGTTCAGATGCCAAGATTCGAACAACAGGCTGCAATTCAGGAGACTGGCGCACCCAATTCAGAGAACAGACCCGAAAGCTCAGGCATTGTGTGCATGGGCTTCCAATGGCTGGGGCTGCGACGTGCGCTGGCGTTTTCGTGTTTGGGTTTAGGGCTGGGGCCGGCGGCTGGAGCGGCCGCAGGGATCCAGGGCTGCTCAACAACGCTGAGGCAAAAGGGTTTGACCGAGCTCCGTGCCTTTGGCGTTCGGAACCGGCTCTGTAATCAGGTCAAGGAATCGGCTCACGGAAGGAGCGAGTCGGATCCAATAAAGTTGGAGATTTAGGGATGCTTTTTGCAGGAGACCCATCCCCGGCGGTCTGTGTTTGTCGTATTCGTAGTTCATAGTCATGGTGCTCTAACTGTTGTTCATCGTGTGTTGAGTAAAACAGCACATGTTATACAGCATCGTGCCTACAAGAGGGTTCAGTGCTGCAAGCTCCAGCAAAGATTCATGGCTGTTTTACAACGTCCGCAGCGCCGGAGGGTTTGGGCCACAGGGGCCCAGCGCTAGAAGCTCTGTCGCAAATCGTCACAACAGAAAGAAGCACCACTTACACAAAAACTGAAACATCTCGAACACACGGGTTTGCCAACCAGTGCCGAGTTGGGATGTGCCAACCAATCTCTTCTGTTGGGGTTTGGGCTTTGGCACATCTCCTTTTTTGGGGTCTGGGGCTTACCAACCAAGACGTGCTGGATATTTGTAAACCACGAATCGCATATTAGGGTTTGAGTATTGGCCAACATCTCTTTTGGTTCGCTAAGCGTTTGGGAATTGTCCATCATCATCTTGTGTCAGGGTTTGCCGTTTGCCAACCAACATCTCCGTTTGGGGTTTCCGGTTGGCCAACCAATGTTTTCTTTTGGTGTTGGGTGTGGTTCATTCATGTTCAGTTGGGAGACTTTGCAACATATACATGGGATAAGCACGTGTCCGGCACTGCATAGGTTTAGGGTTTTGGGCTTCATAGGTTTGTCGTTCAGGGCGGCATGTGTACAAGGTGGAGTGTTGGGGGCTCATAGGTTAGCAGCCCTGACCGCGAAATATGTAGTCCCGAACACCTAGGGCCTCATTTTAAGCTTGAATTTTTGTGAGGGTGGCGGGGGCGGTTACTTCCCCTGACGGAACACGAAGGCGACGGGGGCGGTGAAGGCGGCGGGGGCGGTAAAAGCAGCCAGTGAAGGCGGTGAGGCCGGTAACCTCTCGGGATATCACGGGCGCCGCCCACGAGCGGCGGATATCTTGCAAAAGAACAGAATGCGAGGGCTCGAGATTGCCCTCAGGCTCAGCGGGTTCCAGGGCACAGGGCTTTATAGGCTCAAAGGCCCCGAGCTTAAGTCTCAGGACTCCTGCCTCCAGGCACAGGGCCCTCTGCTGGACGAATGCGCGATAGCGTTCCTAGCAGGTCGTGGCAGCGGCAAGCACCATGGGTGGCGTTGCTGTCCTGGGTTTGTTGGCAGCGTGCGCGAGTCTGCTTCAAATCAATCAGTGGCTTCATCACTTCAACGGGTCAGTGTCCATGTCGGAGGTACTTCTTGCAATGGAGATTGACGGAAAAGCACGAGGACGAGGAGGGCCTTCAGAAGCTGCTGGGGGTAGTTCCGGCTCTTCTCCACCTGACTACGAGGAAGAGGTTGACAAGGAGCTGCCCCAGGTAGTTGCGAGGCTGCCCCTGAGCATCGGTTTCCCTATGAGATTTCCTGTAAGTTACACCAGAAATCGGGCCTTTCTTGGCAAGCTCGAGCAGGCCTGGGCAGCAGAAGGACGTGGAGACAGTGAAGCTCTTCCGCCCTCAGAAGCCCAGCGATGCAGTGACTGTCCGGGCTTAGAGCTCAAACGACAAACCTGAAGTACCCAAGGCCCAAGGAGCATAAAGACACAACTGAAGTGCCCCAGGACATATTTGCAAAGCGACTGCATAGCACAAAGCATGCGAGCTTTCTGCTTTCCATTGCTCATAAACGGCGGCCTACTCCAGTTGATCCGATGTCTAAACTCTAGATGTCTAAACGGTATATATGCAGCTCGCACGCTATGCTTTGCGAAGGTTGCGTTGTATAGTCCGAGTCGCTTGATGGACTTGGGCTGCAGCCAAAGTCTGCCTGCTCAATCTCGCCTGTGCGCAGGGAGAAAATCCAACAGAAACCAGTCATTCCAACTCGAGCCAGTTGCGCTCACGTACGTAATTCTACCAAGGCTTCAACCTCCAGTTTCATATCATTGTCAGTGTTTGTAGCTCAGCAGGTCAAGCCTTTCTCCGTGACGGGCACCCTGAGCCACAGCCTTCAAGTGCTTCTTGGCGACAAAGTGAGCCTATGAGGGGCCAGGCCTCCACCGTTCTTTCCCCTTGGAACTTGCAAGACTGCCATGAGGCTTGACCATTTGTGGTCCTGCGTGGGTTCCGGCAGTGTGCCTGGACAGGAGCGGTTACGGCTTCGTGCCTCAAGCGCAAGTTTGTAGGACTGCTTGAGCTGGTCCACAGTGTGAAGAATGGGCGAGTGCTGGAAGATCCTAGCTGCGCTGCTAGCTGCAAGATGTTCATCCTGAGGAGGACCCGTCTGCGAGCTTGTTGGCCGCCGAAGACCGGCGGCGGCTTGTGGAGGCTGGAAAGCGATTGAAAAGAGCTAACTGTCGCATTGCGGTATGAGCAGCTTCGGTTCAGTGCCCGGGGCACGCGCGAGTGCACGTCTGACCTAAGCCACCAGCAGCAGGCACTTGAAGGCTAGATTATCAAATTGAACCGCAGGGGGCTGAATGATGTCTATGATCATGACAGCTAAGATCTTCTAGACATGCCGGGCACAATTATGATTGCCCTCCTAGCCCGAAGACCACCCCGTATGGCACATCAGCATTAAACGCAGATCAGTGCAGAGGCTCTTGTCGTAACTTCAATGCTATAGCCCCAAGCCTGGCGCAACGGAATGTTGGATTCAGGGCATATGACGCAAGTTTTCGAACCAGCATAGACGGCATGGTTCTTCTGCATAGTGCAAAGTGCAGACTGAAGCTGTAGATGATCCGAGGGACCGAGGAAGAACAACTGACAACGATCGGGTTGAAGGCAAGAGCGGGGAAGCCTGAGCAGCACATGCACATGGCTTCAATCTATGATGATTTGCTTTGGGATTCTTGTGCTCGGGAGAACCAGAACTCTGCATGCGCAGTCCACGAGTTTGTGAGGGCGTGCCGTTGTATGACTGTGGCGCCAGGTGACCTCCTGCATGGCTGCTGGCACAGGTGGGAACCCCGCTGCTGTCTCAGGCATTCTCATGTCATCAAACGTGCAGTGGCTGATCCTGCTCGGTCGATCAGCAGCCAATAACACCCATGAGTCGGAGCTGTCCTGACATGTGCAGAGAGCCCCAACCAACGTCGCTTCATAAAGCTTTGCAGCTGTGCACGTGTCGTGCATGACAGCTAGACAAGGCCTCTGAATGAGCAACGAGCCAAGTAAATGACGGATCGCATAGGCTGCTATGTAAGCGTCGTGTCGAGAAGGCACGCAGGCCAGGACAGAAATGCACCAGAAGCACTGCAGAGACATCCATGCTGCAAGAACTCACGAGCAGCGGCCAGAACTGCAAACGTATCCCAATCTCGCTGGATGTCATGGCATTCCGCCCAAAGCAGGGTCAGACCTTGGCTCCTTGGAAGAAAAGATTTCAGGTGCTTGCGTATTGATTTTCTGCTTCATGAGAACGCCTCTCAAGCCTAGAGCTGGGAAGCAGTGGAGCAAGGGCCAGTCGCACAGACAGCCAACGCAGATAAGCCGCAAGCCGACTGCAAGATGGGGTGTGCCAAGATAAACATACCTCCGGGTGCAACGAGAGAGAGAGAGAGAGAGAGAGAGCAAGCAAGAGAGAGAGAGAGAGAGAGAGAGAGAGAGAGAGAGAGAGAGAGAGAGAGAAAGAGAGAGAGAGAGAGAGAGAAAAAAATAGCCGTAGCCGTTCTTTGTGGGGACCTCCGGCTGTCTTTCGGAGGAAACCCGGTGGCGGCGAAGGGTGGCCCACCAGTAGGAAGGGGCAGCATGCCATTTCGAAGAGGACCCCAAGTGATGCCGATGAGCCAGGAGGACATCGCGTACCCGTTGCTCAGGACGCACAAGAAGTCGCTGGCCGTCCACCTCTTCCCAAAAGGCGACGAGGGCAGGTAGACGGAGTACACCGAGACTCGACGGGGGACACCAACACGGGAATGAACGTGATAGTGGCAGGGACACCGAGAAAGATATCAACAAACTGCAAGGGGGACACGCAGTCCCGACAAGCGGGCACAAAGAACTTGGCTGAACTTGGGAAGAGTGAGCGCGCACTGTATGGCAGGGCACACGTGGCTACAAGTCCTGGACCAGTACATGATCGTACACCTCTGCAAACACATCGGGAAACACCGGATCCGTGCACCACCCTACTGCAGCTGGTGAGAAAAAGAACATGCGTCTTTCTGAAGCCATCTAACTTCCTTTGGTGTGTGTTGAAGGGCACCTGCTCAACTTTTCCTTGTGCCTCAGAATGGTGTGCTAGTAGCATGCATAAGACTTGCAAGGCCGGTAATTCAGGCATGTTTGCCCCTCTTGCGCACACTCTTTTTAGAACAATCCTCCAGACATCAGGTTATCCACCGGTGCCAGCAAACAAACTCCCCAATGCGGGGGAGCCTATGATATACAGCCGAGCCCATCCTTTGAGAATCAGGGATGGGGTAGCGCTCTCGCGCGGGACGGGCGGACTGCTCCCGCCGCAAACCCCGAGCGAAGCAAAGCAAAGAGAGAGAGAGAGTAGCCATTCCATTGCACCTTTGCTTGGAGGCCCTGCATCGGGGGAGAGGGGGGTTAACCTGCAGGGGAGCCTTCCCGTTTCTCCCGGCGGTGCTTGAGTCCTACGCCTGCTGCCACCTTGCTTAAGCGGCCCGCCGCACCCGGAAGGAGGGTTTGCAATAATCGAAGAGGGCAAGCACGAAGTGCTGCCTCACTGACCGCGACCGTGACACTGCAAGGTCTTCAACTAGGAAGGCTCTGAACGGGGGAGATGGGGTGAGACGCACCACCTCGTCATCCGCCTGCCGGTCCTGTTTGCCGCAACGACCTGGAAGTACCACCACGCTGGGCCAGGGACACCTTCGCCTGAGACCGTGACTTGGGCAAGAACGGTGACCTAGCAAAGATCACCTACGGGGAAACCATGGCAAGAGTTTGGGAGATATCATTCGAGCACTGAGAGAAAGTGAGCAGCAGAGGGGGGCATTTGGCCCCACAACTTTTCAAGAGGACTTCAACCCTGGTGCAAATGCACCCTAATCCTCACGGGCCGCGGAGCCGAACAGCCCACAACTTACGGGCCACATAGCCCGACTGCTTTTGAGACTTTGAAGACGTACGCTCAGCACGAGGGACCCTTCCCCACCGTTTTCCTTTACGCCTTACGACGTGATCTCCCCTACAAACTGTGATGACTTGTTGGTTCCGCTACCTGCCGTCCTGTGAATTACAAGCTGTTGTTGCTAGGATGAAGTGGGGGAGAGTAAGCAGAGGAAACCTACCTTTCTGCGGAAGCCCGTGCTGTTGACGAGCGCATGTACTTGCTTCATTTGTCTTCAGGAGTGTGGGGGATGACAGCAACCGGTCACCGCCGTACGTACACAGATCGGGATTGAAGACCAATCCGTGGGATGCCAAAGCCTCTGCTCTCTGAACCTAAAGAGGGTGGGGGTCGCCTCGGCGCCGGTCCAGCGCGAGCAAAGCTGGATGGGGGACATGAGGCAACCAACCACGCCAGAACTGCCGCCCAACGATGATACCGTGAACGCAGAGGTTTCAGCAGTCAATGGGCCGTCAGATTCAGCTATCGAGGCCGTCTTCGGGGACCTGTCCAGAGAGGATTTGTGCCGTATCTGGGGGCTCCCTTTGGACACAGGCCCCAACCAAAAAGACCGTCAGGGTCGGGAGTTGACATTGTCGACATCAACTAAGACGGGAACGACTGGGCAGCCCAACAGCTATATGCTCGAGTTCTACGAGAAGTGGACGCGGAAGCCAGGAAGTGAAGGGCCGCCGACACCCGCAACCATGGCAGCACCTTTGGCAAAGGCGGGGGAGAGCTATGCGCAAGAGAAGAAGAACAGGAGCATGGTGGTGACAGGCAAACGTACCCCACACCAAGCTCGCAGTCTTCGTTTTCCCAAGCCTGACCGCCGTGGGGGAGCTGAACCTCTTCCTTCCTCGTGGGGGGAAAGACCATCTATCTCGCAGACGCTGCTTAGGGTCGCCAAACAAGCAGATGCAGCTGACTTGGCGGGGAACACAATGCAGAATTCCTCGACGACCCGTGCATACCCGGCGGGGGCCGACCAGAACGCTCTCCACTGAAGCGCCGCCGTCGGGCTGTACAATGAAGAGGGGGATGTAGCCAGCTTGGACACCGGAATCGAGTTACAGAATGCTTGATGCTTGAGAATCTCTGAGTTGTAATTCACATGGTGTTACATGTCAGCTTGAATGTCCTTTGCAGTTTTCTACTTGCAGCAGTCCCTTTTTCTTTGCGCTGTCGTGCAGATCAAGTGAGTTTCGGTGGGGGAGTGTAAACCCACAAATGCCTGCTCCAGTGCTTACTGATTGTGTGAGATTCTGCTGTTCAGGCGTGTGGGGAACCTCTCGTTTTTGTTCGTTGTTCGTACAGCCAAGCCCTCCTAGAGAATAACTCTGGGTGGGAAGCTTGCCCCGCCAAGAGACGCGGGTGTGCGGACCGCACGGGGTACACCCGAGAAAGAAAAAAGAGAGATATCCCAGGATCTCTCTGGGGACCCATACCCCTCCGCAAGCAAGCAAGCAAGAGAGATATCCCCAGCGGAAGGAAGGAAGAGAGATAGAGAGAGAGAGAAAGAGAAGGATCATCCTTCTGCGGGGGCGACCTCCGGTTTACTTGTCCAGTGTGGTATTGCTGTCATCAGTGCCCTACGCCTGCTGCTGCTCCTGCTACCACCACTCCGCCGCCTCCCCCGCCCCCTCTCCTCTTCCTCCTCCTATTGCGAGCCAAAAACGTGTATCCCTAAAACAAACAGTACCCAGACGTGAGACCTACTGAGCTGAGCACAAGCCAGAAGAGCCCAACACATATGCCTCGCCTGGATTGTCCGAGTGTGAGCGCCGAAACAACGTCTCAGCAGTCTCCTATGCAAACGGCCCAAAACCCTAAACCTGAAGGTGTGAGCACCGAACCTTCAATTAAACAATCCAGACCCCAATGCTCCATGCTCAAGCAAACTGCGGGAGCACGATCTTTCCAAACAGCGTCATATTGAGTTTGTTTGGTGTGGTAAGTTTGGGTGTTGCTGAGTGTTGCAAACGAGTCATTAGGCTTTGTGAAGGCCGCCCTGTGCCGAACCCGTCAGGACCCGAAACCTCGAACTTTCACCTTGAAGCTTAAAAACCCAAAACCCTGTGCCAAAATGACTTTCAGTGCGAGGCAGCCCTGAGCCCCCAAACCCAGGCAACCGCAAAAAGTAGACCCTCAAAAGCGAAGCCGCAAAACCTTGAATTGTAAGAAACAACTCCAGGCTTTCAACCCTGTAGAGTCACTGTAGGGGTGACAACAGCACCCAGTGCGGATGCAATCTGGACATCCCTGCCCCTCCAGCTGCTGCCATCACGGACCAGGAAGTGACATCAGCTTACTCGGAGTTCACAACAGACGCGGGCTACTTGGCACCTCGGCGGCAGTTCTGCTGAGGTGGGGCGGCTTATATATTTATATACATATATATATAATATAATATAATATAATATAATATAATATAATATAATATAATATAATATAATATAATATAATATAATATAATATAATATAATATATATAATATAATATATATATATAATATATATATATAATATATATAATTATATAATATATATATATATATATATATATGTATATAATATATATATATATATATATATATATTACATATATTACATATATTACATATATTACATATATTAAATATATATACCGTTATATACGAGCAGAGAAGACTCGGAAGGGAGACAACTCTGGTCGGGAAGCTTCTTCTGCGAAGCCTTTGAAGGGCGCACGATGGCAATGATCATCTCGAAGGCGTTATCGAAGAGACAAGTGTGTCGCACACGTTCTCGCATTGATGAGAGCATCAGGTCCTGAAGCCAGGACAAAAAGTGCAAGTGAACTATGTGGGAATGGAGGGCGATGAGGCGGATTTTGGGTACG